CATGTTTGGGGGTTTTGTGCATGCCTATGTGTTTGAGGCTTTGGGCTGCCATATCAAAGGTTTTTGGGGCTCATTTTTGCATGATAAAACTCTGTTTTGCATTGAAAAATCCGTGCCATCTTTCCTTGGGGTAGGTGTTGAGTAATGCTTTCTTTGTGGCCTTGAATGTCTTCTGTCTCGCACCCATTCCCTAGCATGTTTTGGCATCATCCTTCGCACGCTTTTCAGAGTTTAACATGAGTTCTTAATCTCCATTTTTGTCACCTTTGAGTGTTCTTGAGAGTTGCCTTTCATGCCTTAGTCTTAGGCCCTTCAGTTGGCATGTTTATTTTGCATGATTGGCACCGTTATTTTAGTATTCTTGGCCACTGTTTTGGGATGGGCTGAGGCCTTCCCATCTCGGTTGAAGTCCATCTTTGTATATAATCGCATGTTTGATGTGTTGCATTGCTTTGGTATCATGCTTGCATTGTATCATGTTTGCACATTTGCATATTGTTTAGCTAGTTGCATTTCATATCCTAGCTTGCATGATAGATTGCATGGCATTGCATCTTGCATGTTTGGCACATTGCATTTCGCATGTTCATTACCTTAGTCCCATATGGCATACTTGAGCTACTTCGCATGTTTGAGCCATGTTGCATACACGTATTACATTTTGCCTGGTTTGGGGTGTCAAACCAAGGAAGAGGGGTGAGGTGTGTTCGTACTCCAAGTGACGAAACACGCCTCAACCCTCGGTCGCCGATGCCCTTGATCTCAACATGATAGGGCATGAGGCATTCATTTGTTTTGTCACATGCATTTATGCATCGAAATGCGTGATTGGTGGCCCGAGGACCAAGGGTCACACTCCCTTGAGTCCATACAATGATTACGAGAGTGACCATGCACACATTGCTTTGAAATTTCCATGCCATGCACTGTCTGTCCTCTGCTGTTGTCAAAACAGGGTTCTGCAGGAAGGAATGGCCGGCCAGCCACTTACAGTGCCGACTGGCTACCAAAGTCCAGCCGGTGGTTCAATTTTTGGCCGATGGCCACATTCTCATAGCCGGTAATGCTCTATCATGGCCGGTAGCATCCCACAACACTCAGGGAGTTATTCAGAAGGGTCCTGGAAACTTTCATAATTTTCAAAGGAGTAAGGCAGTGTAAACAGCGGCAACAGTGGCATGGTACCGGATTTCCGAGCAAGGCGAGTCAAGCATGCATCATCCACGCATTCCGAGGCTGAGCTGCGACGGTCTCTTTAGTTTCATATTTAGGCTTTTTTTTTGTAATTAATTTGTTAATTAATTAGAAGTTTTGTAATAATTAATTAGCTAGGATAGTTAATTCTTTATTCGGCCTGTATTATTATTTCGGACCCTCCGAGAGAGGGCAATTGTGTAATAAGTGTGCGTGCATGTGGGCATGTCTTCCAACCCCATTTCTTTCTCCCTTTTACTTACCTTCTTTCAATGGTTAGTATTAGGGCATATTTAAATTAGCATACCTTGTGCTATGTATGCGTGCATCCATACATTTGTCTTGCATGCACCGGGCTCGGTACATCATACTAACTGCATAGTATTTCAATTCCGAGTTGAATACGTGTTAGCTGTAGCATCATCATATGCCATCTTAGAATAGCCGAGCCTATTGTAGTTGCATCTTGCATATGTTGCGTTAGCCATCTTAACATGAACTAGGATCGTGCATATGATTACTAACAAGTTTCTGTTTTGGCTTGGAGTACTCGGTAAGTGTTTATGCTTTAGCATCCTTACATGCGTGTAAGTGACTGCCATGAGGGCTTACCATGAGGCTACTTGCTTATGTGATATAACTAGTGGCAAAACCATCTTTTCTAAGCCCACTTGAGGGTGGCAAAACCTACATTTTAGCCTACTTGCGAGTAGCAAACCGTTTTCAAAACAAACATGAAATGCCTTTTTTCCAATTTAGGTGACCCAGTCTATACTTGTTTTGCTGCGCGCATCACATAGTAATTCTAGGCTAATAACCGGAATAAGAACGCGTAATGTTTTCAAAACTCGATATCATGGTTAGTAGAGGCCGATCTTCGGATCGGGCGAGCGGGGGTGCTCATAGCTGACCTTCCCCAATCGTACCCAAGTTCCCGAGCCGAGGCAACTTTGGTGATGATGGACATGTGGCCTTAGGCAAACAAGTCAGGGTTTCCTAAATTCTCCCAAAATAAGAAATTTAGATGGCGACTCTGTATCTGGCAAAGCAGTCCATGTATGGCACTTCTTTCTAAAAAATCTGTTTTCAAAACGATTTGCCGGATTTGGACTCTTTGATGATTCATCGGTCTTGCATTGCACTCTGCGAGATTAGATACAGGACTGTGACAATTTGAGTCTGAACTGTAGTGAGCCCAAACGAACGGAATGGGATTCCCTCCCGGGGTGTTCGGGGGACGTCTACAGCTACGCATGCTAATTACATTTCGTCCATTGGCATAGGTCCTATTTTTCATGGGAAGCTAGCTGTGACATTCGTATGGTGGTTCTAGGGCTATTTTGCATTTTTGCACCCCTTGACACCTTTTTTGGGTTTAATTTTAGACGTTTTCGGGTCAAATTCCCAACCTACGTGTGCTAATGACATTCCGATTTTTGTCACATGCCCTATATGTCACGGGGAAGCTGGCTATGACATCCATACAGTGGTTCTGGGCCTGTTTCACTTTTTTGTACCCTTAACGCCCTTTCTGGGTTAAGTTTAAGGCGTTTTCGACTCTAACTCCCAACCTATACATGCTAATTATATTCCGTCAGTTGTCATGGGTCCTATTTTTCACAGAAAGGTGGCAGTTACATCTGTATAGTGGTTCAGGGGGCTGTTTCTCATTTTCGCCCCCTTAATGCCCTTTTTTGATTAAGTTTAATGCGTTTTCGGCTCTAACTCCCAATCTACGTGTGCTAATTACATTATGTTTGTTGTCACAGGTCCTATTTATCACGGGAAAGCTGATGATGACATCTGTATGGTGGTTCTGGGAATGTTTTGCATTTTCGCCCCCCTTAACGACCTTTTTTGGTTAAATTTTACGCGTTTTAGACTTGGATTTCTTTATTACATATTTTATTTGTTGCATTACTGGTAGTTGTTTGTTTAATTTGAAAATTCATGTGATTAACGATTCACCTCAAGTTGTTGTATTTCTATTGCTTTCAAAATTGTATATTGCATCCAATATATAGTTATACATTTGATGCTAGTATTTGTATTGCTTCAATCCATTACATGAAAAACCTTATCCACAAAGTATTCTCCACAAGATACAAACAGGTACTCAAAATCATAAAATCTATAGATTTGTAGCTTGCAAGTTAATTTGTACTTTAATTGTTCCAACTCAATTCAATATGGTATTGAACCAATACTTTTGGACAACTACAACTAAAATAATAATTTTTCCTAGAGCAACTTATGAACTACATTTGTACACTTGTTTCCTTCTTTTCTTTTCATTTATTTCATCTTTTTTACCATTGGTATCTTAGTTCTCAATTTACATGGTTGCAATAACCAAGATTACACTTCTTAAATCTTGACTTAAATGTTCAATTTAAAAGCTATATTTGCTTAATTTGAAGTTTATCATTTAGCAAACTATCATTCTTGTGATAAGATGAGAATTTTTAAAAAACAAAATTGGTTTTTTCCTTTGGAGTTCATATCAAATGAAGCTTTTACTCAAAATCCAAGCGAAATTGAGTGATGATTGGGAGATTTAACATAGATAACATGTAATAACTCTAAAAATTGAAACAACAACATCATCCATCCATCATATTACTTTTATTATTAAATTCAAACAAGAACCCTTCAGGATAACTCTGTTGAAAATTCTGAAGATAAAACTCCATAGGTGGTTAGTAGAACATTACTTTGAGATAGAATTTTTGCATCCTTTGGCTTGCTTTGTCCATAATGAACATAGAGAGAAAGAGAAGTGTCATTTGGTTATTATTTAGCCCAACTATGCCAAAAGAAGAAGAAAAACCTATAAAAATTAGGACATGAAAGATGTCTTGAAAAGCTAGAAAATAGATAACATGTAATACGTTCAAACATGCAAGTGTAGCGGTTGTTATGAGGGCAGATCTTATCATAGCACCGCTCTAGTCAGGGTGTATGGTTTTGATAAGTGTAGCTATAGCAGCCACATGAGAGCAAGATATAGAGTTTTAGAGTCAATGTTATATTTGACAACTCGATGATCATCAGGTAACTTTGTGGGAAAGCATGCCTCACTCCATGCTGCTAAGATATTCAGTCATAGAGTAGTAATGTTTGGCTGCCAAGATAACCATTAACCTTAAGTTCATGAAACCATTCACAAGTATGAAGACATAAAAGCTACTAATAAATTTGTTTTATTGTGCCAAAGAGACTCTAAAATTGAAGCCTCTTATATTCTTGTTGTTCATATATAATGATATTGCAGTCGCATGTCCAATACTTGAGGACTTCTCAGTAATGAACAAAGATATAAAACTTCCATTGAAAAGAATGATGCACATTGTCCTGGATGGAGTACACACTCCACTAAATATAGTATTGCCAACACTACAGTCTGTGCACTTTTTTTTTTTTTTAATTTATAATTTTTTTAGATTGTTATTGTGATTTATAACTAGAAACAACGTGTCACCTTTTAGGATTCATTATGGACATCTAAAAGTATAATTTTATACTAATGAGCATACTTCTTACCTTGAGAATATGGGGTTCAAGGCCATTTGGACCCATTGAAGAGAAGGATGCCATGAAAGGAGCTGGTTTACTATTCAAAATAGTTTCTTGTGGGACCAATGTTGCCATTGGATTTTTAGAAGTTTGTATGTAGTTGAGAATTGTTGTTGAATCATTGAAAAATACTGTTGTTCCTTGAAGTACATGGGCATCAATTGATATTCCAATGCCATTCACATGGTTCTGTAGAATGAACACAATTCCTTGGAATTTTTTGACCTCTAAGCCTTTCTCAATATTATATGAATACCCACTTAAACACAAAACAATTTTTCCTTTCACAAGCTCCGGCGAGAGAGTTCCATCAAGGCATTGTTTGAAAAAATTCAACACCTCAAATTCAAATGGTTCAAAATATCAATTAAATATATACACTTTTGAACAAAAAGAAATAATAATTACCTAGTCGTACTATTCGTGGTTGTTCCAAGGACTTCAGCATCCCAGCATAAACTAGTTGATAAATTTTGTCTAGCTTGAAGAGTGTCACTGCATGTCCCTATGTATAGATTGAGGAGAAAACATTATGAGTAAAATTCAATATAAGAAGAGTATTGATATTCAGGCATAAAAATTAGACCTAGTGTTTTTTTTTCCTTGGATGTAATTAATTTTGATGGGAACAAAGATACAAGGAAAATGGATTGAACCTTCAATTCATTAAAAATTTTTGGGTACCCAAAAACAGTTAAGAGTTTCACAGTCATGCATTGTTTTTTTTTTTTTTGTTTTCAGTCAATATTCACAGATTCTATAAGCAAAGGTGGGCCTGAACCATGCACCTTTCCTTACGAGTTGATCTAAAACTAAATGGGTGATCTTGTAAAACTATGTATAGCAGTTTTGGAGTACAATTTGCTGTATCAAGACTGCCAAAATACTTCCGATAGATATGTTTATGACATTAACAACATCATTGTTCAGGTGCAAAATCAAACTAGCAATATATGTCAGCAGCGGTGAATTATAATCCCAAACAAAACAACAGTAGAGAGAGGGAGAGAGAGAGAGAGAGAGTTACTAAACAGCAATCTTTCCAGTGTTATACTAGGCCACATGGCATAAAGAACTAACTTCACTTCTCAATCATACTAAAAAAAGATGGATACCCGATAAAAAATAAAGAATTGAAATGATAATTTGTGTTGGTCACCTACCCATCGGAATCCTTCTTTCTCTTGGAGGGAAACACCTATCACACTTTCACCAAGATTAGCAACCTGGGAAGCTACAACACAAATCACAACCTCAGGTCCATTTATCTGTTATCCAATTATATTTTCATGAAAAGGAAAAATACATATTTGGTCAGATATCTTTGAGGTAGAACACTATTTAGGCCTCAAAAGTCTAATAAAATGTCCCCCACTGATTCTAATCAATAAACAAGAAGAAATACCAGACTTTTGATATCATCTCACATAATAGCCAAAACAAACAAACAATAAAAAATCAAAATTGAACCAAAAAAAAAAAAAAAAAAGGCATAGCAGAACCAAAGAAGAAACCAATCAAGTGATAAAAAAATAATACAAATTGCAGAGACTAAAAAATCCCTAGGTTGAAAGCATTCGATATACATGCAAACACATTCCTAGTTAATGGTTCTGCAAAGAAATTCGAATCAAGCCCCAAGCATATAAATAAAGTAATTATTTTCCTGATAATCAAGCTAGCTTCAAAGTTTTCAGTGGAGGAAATGTTGAACTATGAGACCATGAGCATCTAAAAAATAGATAAAATCTAAAATCCCTACAATGGATTAGGGCTTTGAAACTAATGAGAGAGAAAGGAAACAGAGGGGAAAATGTATCAAACCACTAAAATCAAACTTATTTAGGACATCAAACCCGTAAAAATTTAGAAATCAAACCATTTCAGCCAAACCCATTTTTTTGAAATCAACATGAAATTAAACTAAGAAATCATAAAAACCCTAGAGCAAGATTCAGAAGGGAGGAAATAGAGAAAGGGGACAGAGAGAGACTGAGGGCGAGAGAATGAGAAACAAATAGAGGGACAGAGAGACCAAGATAGAGAGAGAGAGAGAGAGAGAGAGAGAGAGAGAGAGAGAGAGAGAGAGAGAACCTGTGAGGATGCAACAGTGCTGGTGGTGATTTGCGGCGATGGTGGTGGCAGTGGCGAGAGACGGTGTTCTGCACTGAGGTGAGGTGGGGTGTGGTTTGGTGGTCATTGTAACGCCCAAATTGTCATACCCAAATGACAATATAAAAATCATGGCCCTTTTAAAGGAAAACCAGTTATAAAATCCCACACTTGCATTTATTAATGCAAATAATTCCTCATGTGATAATACATTAGTCCAACAATAGGTAATTAAACAAATAAATACCCCCAAGGGTTTACAAGTTTCCAAGGCTTAAGCCCGGTTATACAAAATAGTTATTCAAACCCACACATACAAAGCCATTGGCTTACAAATAAAATCACAGCAAATGAGAACCTTGTGCTCTCAACACACGCACTTTTTCACACTCTCAGTTAGGCGGATTCACCACGTCTTTTCTAGCACAAAAATCCTGTAGGGTGAGCATAAAGCCCAGTAGAAAATCCTTAACAAAGTATATACATTTAATACAAGTCTCAAGAGATGAATGCATATGCCATGCCATGCCCTTTTGAAAATAAAACACATCTTCATCTTTTGAAAACTAACATCCTCAATGATGTCGTGCAATTTCCAACTGTTCAACATTTATCAACTTTATTCAAGGGGCGGTATATACAACTCTGGTAATCCCTAGGTCCGTGTCTACAAGTAGCCTATACAAGTACTACCAATTTGTCATTTTACCAGTATTAACTGGAAGGTTTGACACCTATAATCTATCATTTTTACTAGGATTAACTGTAAGGCTCAACACCTATCCGCGCGGTTTTCTGGTCTTTCACCAAGGACACAAAAGCCAACTTAATCAATTTCATCTACACCACCTTTCAAGACTTACCATCGTATTTACCCAAAACCATTTCATGAAAACTTATTTCTCAACATTCTTTTCTTAATGCAAAGTTTTCAAATCAAAATTCAAAGCTCTTCATTATCAAATGAATTGATATGACAATGCAATGATTAATAATACAATGCAATATTTCTTCCACTTTTAACACTTCCACACAATATTCCCACTGTGATCAAAATTCTAATTTTATTATTTTAAGCAATTCTCATATTTCGAGCAATCTCAACAGTTTAGTCATTCAAGACTATAACAACATTCTGATCAACAATTTCAAATACTTCAACAAATCTCATATTCCATGAAACTCATCATTTATATGTATATAAATAAATAACTATCAAACATCATTTATTTTGGCCCACAAAATAAATAAAACATCTTTAAAGATTGACAACATCTTTCTTAAAAACCCCCAATTTCTAGATTTTCTCACCAAAACCACTCATCTTCATTTATTGAGAGAAAATCATCCAAAAACATCTCTCTTCAATCCTCGTAGTTCAAAACCCCTAATTTTTTATTTTAAAAGGAACAAGAAAGTAAACCCACTTTCAAAATCTCTCATCTTCTTGAATCAACAATTAATTTTCAAAATTAATCAAAGAATGATTTCGCAAATCATCTAGATCTTGCTAAAACATATATATATATATATATAAATATATAACTCAATGAAAATCCCTACCTCAAGTATTGAAGAAGAATAGAGATGAAACCCCAAAATTTACGGTGTCGAAACTCGATCTCTACCGCACACAACAAAGCCCTCGAGAAGTTACACAACTTTGATGAAGAACTTCGGTCTAACTCCCAACGGATTTGGAGGAATCAAAGAGAGAAGATGACTTTTAGAGAGGGAAGCTCTAGATCTGGCAATTTTGGAGAGTTTTAGAGAGAGAGAGAGAGAACTGAAAAAGTGATCTGAAATCTCCCCTTATGGACTGATATAACATGGTCTGCTCGAGCGTGAAAAGCCCCGCTCGAGCCTCAAATACACTTTCTGAGTACTTTTGCGGACATGTCAAACTTCTGGAACAAAACATTCTCCGCTCGAGTAGACAAGCAACCTTGAATGCATTTTGCATTTTTGCTTTAGGGGAGCTGCCCCTCGACCTCGCCAGGGTGCTGCCCCCTGGACCCCCGTGAGCTGACCGGGCAGCTCGATCCCCAACATACTTTGTGAAGTGGAAAAACATAAACGAATTAACTTTTGATACAACTCTGCAATGCACAATTCGGGTTGGATTCGCATCTAAAGGTTTGGGGACATTACCTGTTCCAAACATTGCTACAACCTGATAACCAAAATACGGGGAATATAGGGAAACTAAGATACGTAACACTGTTCAAAACCATACCAACCCGAGCCTGGAACACCACAAAGAGACGGGTCAAAACTAGGATCGCTACAGTCATAGAGAATCTGTCTGTGAGAAAGAGAAGAATCGGATGTCCAAACATAGAATAGGGCGCCAATATGAAAATTCATTTCCCTCTAAAATGAATTATACCTTTAGCGACTAAACTAGCTATTTGTCGCCAAAAACTAATATATAATGACAAAAAATTTTGTAGCCAACTCTTCATTTTTAGCTACTAAAATATTAGTTGCAAAAACTTGTAATTTGGCGAATAAAATTTTTTTTTTTGTCGAAAAAAATTGAGTAAACCACGACTAAATATGTTTTTGTCACCAAAAGTGGACATTTGCTGACTAATTTTTTGGTAGCCAAAGAGTAATGTAACAATATGGCTGTTTATTTGGCGACAAAAATCTTGACTTATGCCGACTAATATTTTTTTAGTCGCCAAAAGGTGGCATATTCAGCTACGAAATTTTCTTTGAGTCTCCAATAAGTAATAATCTCGACTAAAAAAATTTAGTTGCTATACCCTAACAAACACCGACTTATACATTTTTTAGTCACCAAAAAGTTAACAATTTAGTCGCCAATTATGGTTGCCAAAAGTGTAAATTGTTGTAGTGACAATAAATTTTTTCCATACAAATATTTTCTTTTAATGGAAGACAAAAACATTAAGAAAATGAATGACTTCTTTAACACTTGCCAAACATGGCATATTTTGTTAATTTTTTTTTTTATCTCAATTGTTAAAGAAACAAATTAAAATGAAAATAATAATAAAAAAAGTGTTTAAATAGTTAGAAGTGACTTTCACTAAAATCAAATAGAAATAAACATTGTTTTTTTTTTGTTTTTTTTATATTAAATATGATAGTTGGTGAACCTTTTTTTTTCTAATATAATAAAAAAAAGGAGATACACTTGATAATTTATTGTTCTAGCAATGCTACAGGCCCACACTTTCACCCCCAATGATGTGGCAAGGGAGATTGGTTGAGTTATGTTTTGAATAGGTTGGGAGTTAGTATTTCAAAAGAAATTATGTCTAGTTATTCTTGGGTTCGATCGAGCGATCTTTTGTTTTCCTGGAATTTGTGTTTGCAGACTGAACTTTTGAGAGTACGCTATTTTGAGCTTGAGCAATTTTTTGCAGTTTGAACTTCTGTGAGGGGGTCATTATTTGCTCAAGTGGTGTTTTGTTCGCTCGAGTGACCTGTTCTGCAGGATTAGTGTTCTGAGAGTTTGGTTTCTTCACTCGAGCTAGGGTTTTGTCGCTACAACAGTGGTTTGTGCCTGATGGTTGAGCGATGTTTTGATCACTCGAGCGGTCTATTTGTATAAAGTTACAGGGAAAATATCTTTTCTTTCGCTTTTTGCTTTCTCCCTCTCTCTCTCTCTCTCTCCCTCTCTCTCTCTAAAAGTTATGTTGGCCAGATTTCTTTACTCTCTCTAGTTCTTACACAAATCTCTATCTACATCTAATCCGTGAGTCTCGTGGTATACGTGCTTTGGAATAAAGGATAGAGTGCAGGGATGTTGTCGTTCCAATCTACAAGGTTTAGATTTCTGTCACCGTTGATTTTCAGTTTCCTTTCTTTTTTCTATTGAGGTAGGGATTTCTTTAACATTTATGCATGATCTTTAGCTTCGTTATGTTCTCTTGAGTAGAGTAATGTTTTGGGATTAATTTGGGTTGGATTTGGTTTTGGATTTGGGATTATAAAAGATAAAACAAGGGTTTTCTTGGAAATGATATTGCAATGGTTTGGTATGAGAAATTCGGGAAGTTGCTTTTAAAATGTGAAATGTTGAAAAGAATATCTATTTAGGGGTATTTGGAAGTCTTCGAACATTCAGGATTTAAATAAATGATCAGGAAATTGTGGACATTTTAAGTGATATGGTAATGATATCTGTTGACAGTTATGTGTGTTTGTGGTCTATAATTTGGGGGTGTTAGCTCTTGGTATAAGAGCTTACCAGGTTTGAATACCTTGGGGTCATGAGACGTGGTTATTATAACATTGGATTTGTCTCGCTAGATAAGTAATAGATGTATATTTGGTATGCTTTATGATAACATGCTTATGCGATTAAGAGAGTATGGGATTTAAATTTCTAAGATACTGGTTGTGTCTACGAATGTCTAGAAGTCCCATTAGAAGAGCATTTGATCACTGCTAATTCTAACTAGAACTCTGGCAATGTCATGGAATGATTATTATCTAGAAAGGAAATTAGTTTGTGAATACGTGATTGATTGTATAAGCAGAGTGAATCAGGTGTTGTCATTGTATTAGGACGTGTGTGAATTGGTTATGGCACATTTGTGAATGGGCTAAATCATTGTGTTACCTTCATCAGGATGTCAGGACGCAGACATGGCGATGGTAGGTGTAGTAGGCCTAGACAGCAGGAAGTGTCAATTTCGGATAAAATTCTGGCACAAGGGGAGGGGATTGGCCAGGAAAACATGGCTGAGCCAACAGGCCAGCAAGCCATGGGCTTTGAAGCCCGAGAAATGGCACGAGCATTGTCGGAATCCATGGACATTCTTAGAGCTGAGAATTAACTCCAGGCCCATGTTACAAAGACATGGGTGTCCTTTTTAAAGAAGGAGTTCTTTTGGTAGAATCTGGACGAGTTTGTAGGTGACCCGAAGGAACCACTAACGGCCAATGAGTGGCTTGAGAAGATGGTGAAGACATTTGAGATGCTTGACATCGATGATGATGGTTTGAGGGTGACCTTGGTAGACTTTTAACTTAAAGGCAACGAGGGTCAATGATGGAAGTTTGTGAAGGGCCGTATTGGGTGACTTGGGAGGATTTTGTTAATGACTTCTAGGATA